CTAAGGTTCGAACTCGACCTTTAACGAGAGACTCAAGGTTCGTGCTCGACCTCAGGTTTTGAGATAGATTATTTAATTAGGGTTCGAACTCGACCTTAGACGGAAGCATCGAGGTTCGTACTCGACCTCGGATTTCAGCGTTTGCACAGTTAGAGTTCGTTTTCGTCCTTTAGATAATCAGGAAAATAAGAATATGAGATGAGCGAAAGGAGTAGTTTTATTTATGGTGCTTGTGTGCCTCGTTAAAAACCCTCTCAGTCAAAGGCTGAGGCGGGAAAAGAGTGCACAACTTTGTTCACACTGGAAGAAGAAGAGAGACTTAAAAACTTAAGGAGCTATGGTGGGGGGATTCCCCTTGCTTTGCTTGCTCGACGAGGAAGTCTTCAGGCTCTCGGCGTAGCATTGCCGAGCTGTTTTCTGATTAGCTTTGACGGAGATGACTTTACCGTCCTTGCTCGGGAACTTCATGGTGAGGTGTGGGGTTGACACTACCGCTCCGAGTTGGTTCAAGGTTGGCCTCCCGATGATGATGTTGTAGGAAGTGTTGGCTTCCACGAGGAGGTACCGGACCATGACCCGCCTTGTATCCGGTGGCGTTCCGAAAGTTGTCAGCAAGTCTACGTATCCCCGGGTGTGAACTCGCTCTCCTGCGAAGCCGACGAGGGGCTCCGTGTGAGGTTGGATGAGAGAGTGAGGGACGTCTAGTTTGAGGAACGTTGGCCAGTACAGGACGTCAGCCGAGCTTCCTTGGTCGATGAGTGTTTTCTGCACTTTCCAGTTGGCTATCTCCACAATGATGACCATGGGGTCATCCTGGTTAGGGTTGACGCCGGCGTAGTCTTCGTTGAAGAAGGAGATCGGCGGTGAGCTTTGGTGTGGGGCCGAGGTGGTAGAGTGGACGCAGTTGATGCTCTGCAGGTGTCTTCTTCGGGCTGAGCTGTTGGTGCCCCCTCCCGCAAAACCACCTGCAATCGTGTTGATTACTCCTCGTAAGGGAGCCGATTCTGTTTCCTGACTTATTTCGGCTTATATCGCGCCGTTAGCATTTTGCTGGGACCCTGTGGGTAAATATGTGCGAGCTCCCGACCCGCGGCCTCTCCCGCGTCCCCGGCCTCCAGAGCCACCCCGGGAACCTGGCTGTCGCTGGATGTAGTGGCCGAGGTGGCCTGCTTGGATGAATTCTTCGATGCGGTCCTAGAGCGTGCGACACTCGTCAGTGGTGTGGCTGTAGTTCCTGTGGTACCGACAGTGTTTGGACTGATCGATGCTGTTGGGGGTGTGGCCGGGTGGTGGAAGGGCTAGTAGGTTATTGTTACTGGCTTCTTCTAGGATGTGGACTCTCGGGGCGTTTAGGGGAGTGTAGAAGTCATACCTCCCGCTTTTGTTGGCTCTGGCCGGCTTCTTGAATTGGCTGTCATTATTGACTTTTACCTTATCTTTGTGGCCCTGTTCCGGTTTTGCAGGGCCCTTCCCGCGAACTTGGTCGCGGAAGGCCGAGTGCTCTTCCATCTGAATGTAGCTGGCGGCGCGGGCACGCAGCTCATCCATGTCGCGGGGAGCGTCGCGGCATAGGCTGTCGACGAATGATCCGGGTTTTAGTGCCATGAGCATGGCGTGCAAGGCGACCTCCAGGTTTAGATTCCGGATCCGAACCGAGATGTTGGAGAAGCGCTCCATGAAAGCTCGCAGAGATTCATCATCGTTCTGCCTGATGTTGGCCAAGGCGGCCGAGGTTGTGTGGTGAGGTCGGCTGGTGGCGTATTGTGCCACGAATCGCCGCACCAAGGTGGCAAAGTTGTCGATGGATCCGGCTAGTAGTTGGGTGTACCAATGAAGCGCGGGTCCCTTGAGTGAGGTCGGAAAAACCCTACACAATATAGCGTCGCTGTTAGTGTAAAGGTTTACCTGAGTTGTGTACGAGTCGATGTGCTCGTCGGGGTCCGTGGTGCCGTCGTAGCGGTC